GTGTCTCTCCCGAGTCAATCTATTCTCATCTACTCTCCTTTCCGTTGTGTACGCAATAAACTCCTCCTACTACTCTGGCCTCTACCGACTTCTCCTCTACTAAGGAACCGGGCCTGGAAGATTGTAGCTGTAAGGGTCAATCGTCGTAGCCTTAACTTCTATAAAGGTGTTTTGTATATCGTAAGTCGGCTGCGTTATTGTAAAAATGCATGCCGCGGTATGGGTATTCAATCGAAATATATACTGATGGTTAAGTGATGTTACTGGGGCGCATTGTTCGAGTGATCGGGAAATAAATTTGGCAGTTTTTCATTAACCATGAGGGAATGATGGTAATGTCACACAATGCGGTGTGGTGTAAATTGTATGGCGATTGTTATATTTTACGTACGTATAATTTCGTATTGTGGGTAATGGATGTGAATGGATAATTATGGGCGGAATGATATTTTTGGGCGTGTTGGCCGATGGGTGATCATCTGGAGAACGAAGTCGATGATTAAGCGTCATGTAATGATGCTTTTGTGAGGAGTGCAGGTGTTGTGTGTTTGGTATGTCGACTGTCTTATCGTACATATGCATGCCGTGTTATGGGTATTTAATCTGGATGGATAATGATGGGCGAAGTGATGTTTGCCGGGCACATTCGTGCAATGATGGATAAGTTGATTGGGTAGTTTGGCGTGAGCCATAATGGAACGGTCGTAATGTAACGCAATCAGGTCTTGTGTAATTCGTATGGCGAGAGTTTTATTTTACGTATGTGTAATTCGTATTGTGTTTAAGCAATGGGAATGGATAATTATGGGCGGAATGGTGTTTGTGGAACGTATTGGTCGTAAGTTCAGTAATGTGTTTTGTGGTAATTTGGTGATGAGGATGGTCCTTTGGTGGCAAGGACACCTGCTCTGTTGTTGTTGATTTTGTTTAGTAAGTGTATTATTGTGGGTATGTTGCCCTTCTCATGTATTAGCAAGGCGTATGGGTATGTGAGTCTTGTGTAAGTGTAACGGTAACCTCGGCATGATGTGGATGCGTTTTCCCTTGTACGTATTCGTGTGTGTGGATGCGTATGTGTTACAGTAAGCGTGGTAAATGTGCAAGTGTGTTAGCAGGGATGGATAAGTCAGTGTTTATCGAATTTGAGTTGCATAGAAGCAATGGATGGGCAATTGGTAGTGGAGAGGGGGAACTTTGATGTGAGAAGTCGTATTGGTACACTGGGCAATCATGGAAGGATTTGCGGTTACATGCAGGCATCTAGTATGATGTGACGGTGTGGATGAGAGCACGTATATGACGTCGTTCGTCGTGTGGTGCATGGTGATGTGGTGGGGAATGGTCAAATGCGCTGACTGCTGTTGTGCCGGTGGCGTTGTAGAAGAGGATAGGAATTGAATGAAAGATACTACAGTCGTGCAGTCGTGTCGGACTGCATGGTAATGCAGACGAGTGAGACGGGTGAATTGTCGTCGAAGGTGAATGGCCTTAGGCGAAGGCGCAGAATGTTTCACAAGGAAATGTCTGATGTGTAGTCGTAGAATTCGTCAGTAAGGGGCAGCAAATGCAAGCGGGGTATGCGAGTGAAGTGTAACTAAGCAATGTTCCATGGTAAGTTAATATTGTCAAATGTGTGTTTAAGGGAGGAGTATGTTTGCAGCGGCAGTTGATGGGAACGTGCTTGGGGTATGTGTAGGAAAAGTAGGCCGCGAAGTGCGTGAAGGGTTTTATGAAGTTGTAATGCTAGTTTTGTCATGGAATAGATAATGTGTAAATGTAGAGGGGAGCAGATATCCCAGAGTGAGGTGATGTGGTATTGCCAGTTGAGGAATAACGAAGGCTGCACGCGCCATAGGTTACAGTGGTATGTTAACCGTTAGCTAAATTGAACCAACCCGTCTATCACTTCTAACTCCCTGAGCTAAGGCATGTCTATGTATCCCAGCGGCAACGGGCGTCTTTTGAAAATAACAATCTTAACTGAGCCGGTTAACCGGTAGCTAAATTTAGCCAACTTCTGAAAAGAAAACTATGCCTACTGAAAAGCATTGAGTAGGTATGTAAATATAAGTAAGATAAATCATGCGCTACCAAGGAAACTCCTGCCCAATTATTTATTTGAACTAGAGATTAATAACTAAAAGGTACGCCATAAATAAAACGAGAAATACAAGCAAAAAGGTATAAGGATTGCACTAAATGTGCAACTATGCAAATATCCGGAACTGCCGAAATTTGCGGAACAGCACAAAGAACTGCGAATTTGTGAAATTAAAGTAAAGTAAAGTAAAAAATGCATGTCTCTAATAAATCTAAGAACAAACTAAGAAATTAATCTAAAACTAAAATAAGAATAATGAAAAATAATCATAAATTAGAGAAGGAACTAAAACATAATCCAGGGAAATAAACCAATTTCCTAAATAATAAATAAATTGTGTTCATCATCTTCCGAAGAGGAAGAAGAAGAGGGGCCAATTTCATAAACCAAAGTATATTTTGACTGACTTTTCAAAAGCTCACTCGCCTCCATCGTCAGAGTACCGTGCTTACGCTTCCGTGGGCCTTGAATGAATCCGCCTCGCCGCGAGCCGTGTGTAACATCAGTGCTCAATTTATGTGCGTTTGCCTGTCTGGTGGCCGCTGGTTGGCTCCGACATTTTTGCTGCCGACCAATGGCGGGTCTGCGCCCCTTTTGTTCCCTACGCCACCATCGTGGTTGCCGTTGCGTCAGCTTGCATGCCAGCCTTTCCCTCGTAAAGTGGTGGATCGATCGACCGTTGGTTCTTGCTCGCAGCGGAAGAATAACGGAAGAGTAAGCACGGTACTCTGACGACGGAGGCGAGTGAGCCTTTGAAA